TGGCATCTCATCTCTCTTAGTGATGTTACCTATTCTCTAACACCTATCACATTGTGCAATATATGCTCAAGCATCTTTAAAAAGAGTCGGCCAGAAAAATCTAGCTTCTAAAACTTTAAAGGTTGTTCGATTTGCTGCATAATGACCTGCAATTGCTCCATCATGACAGTGATATAGAATTTTGTTCGTCTCTTCTTCAGTCACACATCTTATAATGATATTATCTACACAATTTTTAAACAAGTAAGGTTCATTACACAAATAATACTTTGCATCAGATATAAGCTTTTTTCTTGCTGGTAAAAGAGATCTTTGGGTGTCCATTTTCCAACCAAGTAGTTTGCAATATCTGCAAACCAGGGTGGTTGAGTCACAATTGAGTTAACTGAGAAAATGTTTTCATCAAGAAATTCTTCCTTTATTTCGCTAAACTCAAGGGGGGGGGGGATCTTCTAATCTAGACAAATGGTAAGCTACTTGATTCTCTGTTCCTTTTTTGTCTTTTATCTCAAGGTCAAATTCTTGTAGAAGTAAAATTTATCTTAATAATCTAGGTCGAGCATCTTTTTTTGCTAAGAAGTATTTTAAAGCTGCATGATCAGTAAAAACATCGACCTTGGTTCCTATCAAATAAGATCGAAACTTATCAAAAGCAAATACTACTGCTAGTAACTCTTTTTCTGTTGTGGCATAATTTAATTGAGCCTCATTCATTGTTCTACTAGTATAGTAAATGGGACGAAAGATCTTATCCTTTCTCTGGCCTAAAACATCTCCAATTTCTGTATCACTAGCATCACGCATGACCTCAAAAGATTGATTCCAGTATGGGAACACAACTACATGGGCAGTTGATAACTTTTCCTTAAGGGTCTCAAATGCTTTCAAACAATCACCTGAAAAATTAAATTTAATATCTTTCATCAAGAGGATAGTCAACGGTTTTGAAATGTTTGAAAAGTCTTTTATGAACCGTCTGTAAAAACCTGCATGACCTAGAAAGCTTCTAATGCCTTTAACAGTTGTGGGAGGGGGTAATCCTGCTATAAGATGAATTTTAGCCTTATTAACTTTTATCCCTTTAGCAATGATTTTATGTCCTAAAACAATTCCCTCAGTAAACATAAAATAATAATTTTCCCAATTAAGAATTAAGTTTGTCTCTTCACATCTCTTAAGGACTAAGGTCAAGTGGTGAAGACAATCCTCAAATGTTTTGCCAAAGAGTGTAAAATCATCCATAAAAATTTCGAGAAATTTTTCGGTCATGTCAGAAAAGAATTGCTGACATGCAACGCTGAAATGTAGCAAGGGCGTTGCATAGACCAAATGGCATTCTCCTATAGGCATATGTTCCATGAGGACATGTGAAAGTTGTCTTGTCCTAATCTTCAGGTGCAATTGGTATTTGGTTATACCCTGAATAGCCATCAAGAAAACAGTAAAAACCATATCATGCAATTCTTTCTAACATTTGATCAATAAATGGTAAAAGAAAATGATCTTTTCTAGTGGCATCATTGAGACGTCTATAATCAATACAGACTCTCCACCATGTGACAGTCCTGGTAGGTATGAGTGCATTACTTTCATAAAATTCTATAATTCTATAGTTTCGTACATTATTTGCCCTGCATTTCATATGCTTTAATGATAAACTACACTTTATTTATGCGTAATGGAGTCTATTTTGTGTATAGGTGAATTGGAGATGAAACTAGAGCAAAAAGGAATACTTAAAGTCTAAAGCGTGCTAAAAAACAACAGTTGAAAAGAAGAAGGAAAGAAGTGAGCAGCTGACAAATGAAAAGTTGGCGAAGCCAGGCATAGAGCAGGTTGGGTGAGCTCTTTAGCTAGCGTGGGAGCTGGCGAAGCGAGACTTGGGGAGAGGTCCTCCAAGCTGTGAAGCTGGCAAGGTGAGGTAGAAGGCGAGCTGAAGAAGACGTTACACCTCACGACGCAGGCCTGGGGCAAGCTTAAGCAGGCGTTATGCCTCGCGAGGCCAGGTCTGGGCGTGCACATTCATAGCTTTGAAGACTTATTTCGTCTCCTGGTTTGACTAGGACTTGGCCTACGTATTTAGGTCTTTTCCTACACATATAAATACACCTAAAAAATGCCATTTTGGAGGACTTTTGCAATCGGAGGCAAGCAGAGCTCGTGGAACAACCATTGGGAGTTAGACTCATCGATTTCTACACCCCTTTATCCTTACTTTGTAATTTAATTATGCAAAATACTTTGGATATTGTGACTATGAGTATGAGTAGCTAAACTCCTAATCTAGGGTTTGATGGAACCTATTAGAGGATGATTTTCCTGTTACGTTAATATAGATTTGCCGTAGTATTTTCTCTATTTGTTCAACTATATTATTATTATTGTTGATTGAAGGGCCCTCAATCGACTGTGCCTATTTAGTGTGTATTACTCAAGAGAGAGTGCATATTTAGGTAGTTGTTGAACAACATTACTCCTAACGTATATGAAGGATCAATACGAAGGGTTTAAAAGTGGGATTAGGGATAACGAAACCTTGGTGCGATCCGAGTGAGCCGTACTTAATGCCAGCTAGCTTAATTCGGGAGAATATGTCTAGTAAATTGTGGTAATTACTCGGGAGAGAGTTACAACAGTCAGAGTACTCATGATCGATAGAGAAGACTTAGGCAAATTTATAGAAAACATAGCGAAAAAGATTCCGACAATAAGGGAAATCACAACCTTAGACCATTCCAATTCTTGTCTACTAACCGTAGTAGTTAGTTATTAATTGTTGCACTTTCATTACATAATATTTAGTTAGTAAACATCCAAATTGTTACTTAAATATTTCTGAAGATTGATTGCGTGAGTTCGTGCAAGTCTAGTAGCTGTGTTTGATAAGTGAATTACCTATGGGATTCGACTCCGGACTTATTAGCCGAAATATATTTTCAACAACCACTTAGTCCCTTTTACAAGGCATAGTTGGGCGTGATCAAATTTTGGTGCCGTTGCCGGGGAATTAACGGTGTATTAAATGTTGCTAAAAGAATTGCTAGAATTCTTAGTGTAGTCAATTTTCTTCATTTTAAACCAAATACATTGAAATTTTAATGTTTGTTGTCTTGGGTGTTATAGGTGCATGCCTAGGAACTCCTCGAGAACTGGTGAATTGCTCGAAGCATTATCAGATCCTGAGAAAGTTTTCAAGGCATTGAATCGTGCAAACAAGAAGGACATACAGCAACAGAACTCAACAGAACGAATCGAACTAGACATGGATGACGTAATAGAAAATCCAAATAACATAAATAATGCGAATGACCCGAACAATCAGGGTGTGGCGCCTCTTGTGCCAGAAGCAACCTTGTATGATTGGGCACAACCCACTGCTGAAAATCTGGCAACCACAATTGCAGTCCCTCAAATACAAGCGGAATCATTTCAAATCACAAACAACATGCTACATTTGTTGCAGAACAAGGGACTGCTTTCAGGGTCTTACATTGAAGATCCTCAACAGCATCTGAAAAATTTCCTATCAATATATGTCACACAAAGGCAACCTAATGTGACACCAAAAGCAATGAAACTGTTATTGTTTCCATTCTCGGTGACGGGAGAGGCCCAGACTTGGCTTAATTCACTCCCCATAAACTCCATCACTACTTGGGAGGAATTAGTCAAGCAATTTGTAAACAAGTTCTACCCACCCAATAAGACTAACAAACAAATTGATGAGATATTGAGCTTCAAGCAGAGACTAACAGAAACACTACAAGAAATGTGGAAGAGGTTCAAGGTTATGCTTGTTAAGTGCCCACATTATGGCATTCCAGAGCAAATATTGGGGCAGAGGTTCTACATAGGATTGGCAGACAACTTAAAGGCTAATGTTTATGCTTCAGTGGGTGGAGCATTTTTGAGCAAATCATTCCGAGAATGCAATATCCTACTCGATAAAATGGTTCAAAACTCAGGATGGATGACAAGAGACTCTACGATTACTCCTGTAGTTCACTCTGTGGCTTTGGACCCAAACAACTCTATAGCCGAAAATATGGCCACTCTAATGACGCAAATGAGTATCCTCACAAAAATGATCGATGAATCAGGTCCGAAGCAGCAGGTACACATAGTTGATGTAACTAATGGGGGATTATGTACACTATGCATTAACCAACCTTATGTATGCTCGTGGAGTGCGGAAGGTGACAACCAGCACTATCAGGAAGATATGAACTATGTAGCCAACTATGGGGGACATAGGCAAGGTAGTCAGAATTGGGGTCAACAGAATAAACAATATAGACCAGCACAACAACAGTATAATAACAACAACAATCTTGGAGCTATGCGACCACAGGGTCAAGTGGTGTCTTACCAAAGGCAACAGGGTTACAACCAGCAAAATTAGCAACTGCCTTATCAACAACTGCAACAACAACAGATTGTGAGACAAGATGATGGGTTTGCTGAACTTAAGGGAATGCTAGACAACAACAACAGAATGATGTAACAACTGATTGGGTCTACCGAAAAAATGTAAGAGAGAGTGGACTCACATGAATCATCGATAAAAGGGGTTGCGATTCAATTAGGATAGATTTCTATAGCTCTAAATAATCGTCCCCAAGGGACATTACCTGCAGACACACAAGTCAATCCAAAATATCAGGGCCCGAAACAACTTATGACAATGAGCCTACGAAATGGTAGAGACCTAGATCTAGAGCAAGGGATTGCTCGCGAAAGCTTACCTACTGAAACACTTGTGCCAGTACCCATTGAGATAGATGATTCAATAGGGTTAAAATGAGGTGACGGTACAACATGCTAAAGAGATCACAAGCAAAGAAAAAAAGGTTGCGAAGGAGACTGAGGTAGCACAAGAAACGACAGTAGAAGCAGTGCCTGAGCAAGATAAAACTCAAATCACAGGAAAGAAGCGACTTCCAGCACCATTCCCGCAGAGATTGGCAAAATATTAGAAGGACGAGCAATATAAGAAATTCATGGAGATGTTGAAACAAATACAGGTGAACATTCCACTGATTGATGCGTTGCGAGAGATACCTGGGTATGCCATAATGATGAAAGATTTAATGTCTCGCAAATTTGACTACCAAGACCTGTCCACTGTTACTTTGGCACAAACCTGTAGAGCAGTCGTAATGAGACCCATAACTGAGAAGTTGTGAGACCCAGGGAGTTTCACAATCCCATGCACGATAGGTAACTATGCTTTTGCTAAAGCATTGTGTGATTTAGGGGCAAGCATAAACTTGATGCCCTTGGCTATCTACAAAAGGTTAGGCATTGGAAGAGCTAGACCCACATCCATGTTACTACAGCTAGCCGACCAGACAGTGAAGAGGCCCTCTGGTATCCTTGATGATGTATTAGTACAGGTTGGGAAGTTTGTGTTCCCAACAGATTTTGTCATTCTAGATTGCTGGGTTGACGAGGAGATTCCCACAATTTTGGGAAGACCATTCTTGGACACTGGGAGAGCTTTAATTGACTGTGAAACTGGAGAGCTCAAAATGAGACTAAATGATGAAGAGTTAACATTCAACGTGCAGAAATCTATGCGTCGACCAAGTGAATTTGCTAACTGCTCTCTAATAGAAGTCGTGGATGTAATTTTGGAGGAGGAAGATGAGACTAAATGATGAAGAGATAACATTCAACGTGTAGAAATCTATGCATCGACCAAGTGAATTTGCTAACTGCTCTCTAATAGAAGTCGTGGATGTAATTTTGGAGGAGGAAGATGAGACCTTGAACGCTAAAGACCCTCTAACAGCCTGTCTCTTGAACTTAGATGAAGTAAATGGAGAGGATTTGGCGGAGTGGGTGCTAGCTCTTGAAGGCCAAGAGTTTTGGAAAAGAGAGCTCGAATTTGAGCATTTGCACTTAGAAGAAAGACAAATTCCTCCAGCTAAGCCATCGATAGAAGAGCCACCAAAGTTGGAATTGAAACCGCTACCACCTCACCTTAGGTATGCTTTCTTGGGACCTAACTCAACTTTACCTGTTATTATCTCATCTGGTTTGTTAGATGTGCAGAGAGAAAAACTTTTGCAAGTATTGAGTGAGTGCAAAACTGCAATTGGTTGGACCGTTGCAGACATTAAGGGGATCAGCCCAGCCTTCTGTATGCATAAGATTCTACTAGAAGATGGCCATAAACCTTCCAGAGAACATCAAAGAAGGCTGAACCCCAACATGAAGGAAGTTGTGAAAAAGGAGGTGATAAAGTGGTTAGATGCGGGGATCATTTCCCCCATCTCCGACAGCAACTAGATCAGCCCATTCCAATGTGTGCCTTAGAAAGGTGGGATGACTGTAGTGCAAAATAAGAACAATGAGTTGATATCAACAAGAACAGTCACAGGGTGGCGAATTTGTATGGACTACAGAAGATTGAACAAGGCCACCCGAAAAGACCACTTTCCCTTGCCGTTCATTGATCAAATGCTCGATAGATTGGCCGGGAAGTCCCACTTTTGCTTTCTAGATGGATACTTGGGGTATATTCAAATCTCCATTGCCCCGGAAGATAGAGAAAAAACATCATTCACCTGCCCATATGGCGTCTACACCTTCCGGAGGATGCCGTTCGGCCTATGCAATGCACCCGCCACATTTCAAAAGTGCATGATGGCCATCTTCACTGATATGGTAGAGGACATCATGGAGGTCTTTATGGATTATTTCTCGGTGGTGGGAGACTCATTCGATGATGGCCTAAGGAATTTGAAAAGAGTGCTGAAAAGATGTGTCGAGACTAATCTGGTACTCAATTGGGAAAAGTGCCATTTCATGGTACAGAAAGGTATAGTCTTGGGGCACCTAGTGTCGAGTAAGGGCATTAATGTAGATCGTGCAAAGGTTGATATGATCGAAAAGCTTCCACCACCCACTTCCATCAAAGCAATAAGAAGTTTCCTTGGCCACGCCGGGTTCTATAGATGGTTTATAAAAGATTTTCCAAAATTGCTAACCCCTTATGTAAATTGCTTGAAAAAGATCACCCTTTTGTGTTTTCTGATGACTACCGGGTAGCTTTTGAGGAATTGAAGAAGAGGCTGGTGACAACACCTATTATAGTTGCACCTGACTGGGAGCAACTATTTGAGCTGATGTGTGACGCAAGCGACTATACTGTGGGAGCAGTGCTTGGGCAGCGCAAAGACAAAGTCATGCATCCAATATATTACGCAAGTAGAACTTTGAGTGGTGCCTAACTAAATTACACAATAACCGAGAAGGAGATGCTAGCAGTTGTGTTCGCATTTGACAAATTTAGGTCATATCTGATAGGCTCGAAGGTAATTGTTTATATTGACCATGATTCTCTCAGGGACCTAATTGATAAGAAGGAGTCAAAGCCGTGCCTGATTCAATAGGTGCTACTGCTGCAAGAATTTGACTTGGAAATCCATGACCGAAAAGGAACGGAGAACCAAGTGGCTGATCACTTGTCTAGGCTGGAAGGAGCCGAAAAGAAGGTTGAGGGGGAAGAGATTGTAGAGACTTTCCCGGATGAACAACTACTAGCCACGAGTCTTGAGGTAGCGCCATGGTATGCAAAAATTGCAAACTACCTGGCAAGTTGTATTGTTCCCTATGACCTTTCCTCTGTTCAAAAGAAAAAGTTCTTTCGTGACTATCGCATGTATTATTGGGATGAGCCTTATCTGTTCAGGATTTGTGTTGATAACATGATTCGAAGATGTATCCCTGAGATAAACCAATCTTCTATTTTGCAGGCTTGTCACGCGTCACCATATGGTGGCCATTTTGGGGGAGTAAGGACAGCTGCGAAAGTGCTGGAGTCGGTCTTCTACTGGCCGACATTGTTCAAAGATGCACACTTATGGGTGAAGGGTTGTGACGAATGCCAACGAACTAGGAATATTTCCCGCCGACATGACATGCCTATAAACCCAATTCAGGAGGTAGAATTGTTTGATGTGTGGGGAATCGATTTCATGGGGCCTTTCGTCTGATCATACGGCAACAAGTACATACTCGTAGCTGTGGACTACATGTAAAAATAGGTGGAGGCTGCAGCGCTCCATACAAATGATGCAAATGGGGTAATTGGTTTTTTGAGAAAGAATATATTCACCCGATTTGGTACTACAAGGGCAATAATCAGTGACTGAGGCATTCACTTATGTAATCGAGCCTTCACAAAGTTGTTAGAAAAGTATGATGTAAGCCACAAGTTTGCACTTTCATTATCATCCACAAACGAGTGGGCAAGTGGAAGTCTCGAACAGAAAGATAAGAGTGTTTTGATAAAGACTGTGAATGCTATAAGAACGGATTGGGCGAGAAAGTTAGATGATGCACTCTGGGCCTATCGAACCGCTTTCAAAACTCCGATTGGCATGTCGCCATATAAATTGGTGTTTGGGAAGGCGTGTCACTTACCAGTGGAGTTGGAGCATAGAGCTTTATGGTCATTGAGGCAGCTGAATCTCGATATAGAAGCTGCGGGTACAAGTAGAGTCACAGAGTTGCACGAATTTGATGAGTTTCATTACCATGCTTTTGAGAGCACAATATTATACAAGGAGAGAATGAAGATGATGCATGATAAAAATATTCTTGAGCGGAATTTTAAACCCGGAGATATGGTATTGCTATACAATTCGAGATTGAGGTTATTTTCGAGCAAATTGAAGTCAAGATGGTCAAGACCATTTCATGTGGTAGAGATTCACCCCATTAGTGCCGTAGAGATTGTTGCGGAAAATGACTCTCACATGTTTAGAGTCAATGGGCACAAGTTAAAACATTATTTGGGTATGGATGATGCGAAAGTAGTGTCGGTGACTCATTTGCTCGAGCCACCAAGGTTGAGCAAGCCTTAAGTGCGATTACCTGCGTCGTGCCGCGACGTTAAATCAGGCGCTTCATGGGAGGCAACCCATTGTAATGTTGTATTCGTCGTGACACGACATTAACTAAGGCGCTCGTTGGGAGGCAACCCAATTCATAGTTAATTTCTTTTAGTGTAGCTAGAATTTTTCTTTTGGTTGTAGGTACTAACAAGTTTGCAGGTGATTTTGGGCAAGTTGAGCAGAGTTTTCAGCGTCACATGAAGGAAACTAAGCGGTGGAGCTCTCCTCGCGAGGGTGGAGGAGAGGTATAGCTGGCGAAGGAGCTCGCCTCACCTGGGGTAATGCCAGGTACACCAGGCGCTAAGACGCGCATCGCATGGGTTGAGGCCAGGTACTTCACGCATTAAGACGCATGCCGCAAGCTCCCAGGCTCGCGTTAGAGATGGCTAGGCGAGGGATTACACGAGATCTTTCAGTAGGCATCGCCAGAAACGAATATGCCTCCGAGAAAAGATACCGGCAAAGGAAAGGCTACTTCTACTGCTCCGGCTAAAGCAAAGGCGACCTCCGCACCTCCCCCAAAGAAGAGAAAAGGGGGAGAAGCTACCTCCAGTCGAGGTNGGAGCACAAGCTGTGGCAGCTATAGCAGCCATACGTCCACAACCCCAAGGCCAACGGGAGTTTGGCATCAGAAGTATACCCCCTCATACTAAGGATTGGTACAGGCATTGTAAGCCTAAACATGTACATCCGGTAGCCGCTATACATGAGCGCCGACTGCAAGCAAAGTACCAGGCTATTTGGAGGGGCATCCATGATTTGGGGTTGAGCTATGTCTTTAAGAACACAGGGGATATTAATCTCAATCTAGTGAGGAAATTCTATGCAGGGTTTGATCTATAGGATACCGAACAGCTGGTGCCGATTCGTGGACAGTTGATAAACTTTTCAGCCACATCCATATGTAACTTTTTAGGTGCTCCGGATGTTCCTGTGGAGCCATTGGACTACTTCATTCGCTGTCCTACATATAGAGAGCTGAGACACACATTATGTGGTGTCAATTCTACAACAGCGTGGATCCGTGATAAGAAAACAAATCGGCACAAGAAGTTCACCAAAAAGAAGATGAGGGCGGAGGCTCAAGTTTGGTTGAAACTGATTAACGCACGGCTCCTACCGTGCAATCATGACACGCTCATTAGCCGACAGAGGACTTGTGCGCTCTACTTCCTCATGACGGGTCAAAGAATGAATGTGGGTTATCTGATCCGCTACCAAATATCTTCGGTAAGAACGGGTAAGAAGGTCGATCGAATACCATTTGCCAATTTTTTGACTCAATTCTTAAGACACGAGGAGGTTGAGGAGGAGCCAGAGTTTGACCACATCATTTATCAGCCCATACGACAGACAAACATCACTAGTGTCCGGGTGAAAGAAGAGACTGCTATGCCATCGTTGACAGGTGCCGAGCGCAATGCTCATGATGATAGTTTTATGGCCCATTTCTATGGGATGATGGATTTGAAGATGAGGATGGGGGGGGCTGGCCACGACTGAGGAGAGGTCCTTATTGGATGAGCGGTTCCCGCTCAACGCTCATGCTCAGCAACTGGTTGGGCGAGGTGATGTATACAGACTTCCAAATGATGAGGACATTAACACACCTGAGCATTCCGAGGCTGAGCCGGTCCAGTCAGACGATGAGGACGATGAAGATGAGGAGGAGGACGCACAGGAGGAAGAATGGGCAGCCTCAGAGGATGAGGGCTACGATGCAGCATGACCAGGGAGTTTTTCCTTACACCCTACTCATTTTTCTTGTTTTGTCAATCTGTGCATGCACCAAGGACAATGCATGATCTAAGTATGGGGTGGATACTTATAAATATTAGTTTTGCTTAGTTGTTTTAGTTATTAGTTTAGTTAAGTGTTTAGTTATTTGTTTAGTTAACTGTTTTAGTATTTGTTTTTAGTTATTTGTTATTAGTTAAAAAAAAAGATTTTCTTGTAAGTAGTGTAGTAATTCCCCCTTGGTTTTTATTTGGGCCGCGATTTTTTTCCAAGGGATTTTAGTTGAACCGGGTGTAGTTAGTTTTAATTTTTAGGAGTAGGAACCACGGGGCTATGCATTTAATTGCAGCAATAGCTCTTAGCTTTGTTATGCCTTGAGAATAGTTAGTACTATGGTTGTGATGCTTAGGCTCGCGATGAAACCAATCCTAAGTGAGTTATGTGCCATGTATGTGTGAGGTTTGTATGTATTCTGTGCATTGCATTTGATGTCTAGAACTTGCCCCGTGTGTGTGCAAAGCGAAATAATAGTCTTGTTCAGTTTGAGAAGTGATATAGACGTTTCTTTGTTAAGCCAGATATATATAGTGTACCCACCTAAATGTCATGTATCGTAGTTAACCCCGTTGAGTCTATAATCCTGTTTCTTTGGTAACCACATTACAAGTCGTACCCCTTTATTTGAATCGACCATATATTTGAACCTTGTCACCTCTCATGAGCACTTGAATTATGATGAATTATGAAAAAGTTAAAGTGTGGGGTGGTGGGTTGGCTTTTGAGTGAAACAGTTGAAATAAGGAGAAAGGTGCACCGTTTGAAAGAAAAAAAAATATGTCAATAAAAGCCACTTGGATTAAGAGAAAAGAAAAAAAAATAGTTGTATTGTATGAAAAATAATTCTTAATGGTGGTGGCTAGTGATATACTGGTGCTTAAAGAAGTAGGGGATAATATAAAGTGAAGTTAAGGTGGAGTTTTGGTTTGACATAAGTATGGGCTTGAATGTTAAAGTGTATGTATTAAAGTGCTTAAGGGAGGTGTAGTCACTTATATCCAAATGTATCTTACCCGACTCGCAGCCTACATTACAACCAATCAAAGTCCTACTTGATCTTAGACTGAATGAGCTCGATTAGTAGAGTATTACACTATGGGCAAGCCTATGGTGCATCATTTGTAGCATATGAATGTCATTTCTGAGAGCGAGTGAATTTTTCCTATCTTGCGTTCCTATGTTCTTAAAATTCATTGTGTGTGGAACTGAGCTCTTTGTTGGGTGAGGGCACATGATTCATAAAGGAAAGGTAATATCGTTGACCTCCATGTTAGAGTAAGTAAGTGAATTGTGAATAAGTCATGGTATTTGTGAGTCAAATCTTGAGGTGAGGATGTTACACATTGGTGCTTAGACTATTTTAAACATTCTTGGTGTGATGAGTTAAGGGAATTGCTTAAAGAGGTTGTGTTTATAAGTGTAGTTTGATTGCGCGAGGACGCACAATGTTTAAGTGTGGGGTATTGATGTGTGGCTATAATTCCATAGTTTCGTACATTATTTGCCTTGCATTTCATATGCTTTAATGATAAACTACACTTTATTTGTGCGTAATGGAGTCTATTTTGTGTGTAGATGAATTGGAGATGAAAGTAGAGCAAAAAGGAATACTTAAAGTCTAAAGCGTGCTCAAAAACAACAATTGAAAAGAAGAAGGAAAGAAGTGAGCAGCTGACAAATGAAAAGTTGGCGAAGCCAGGCCTAGAGCAGGCGTTAGAGCAGGCTGGGCGAGCTCTTTATCTCGCGTGGGAGCTGGTGAAGCGAGGCTTGGGGTGAGGTCCACCAGGCTGTGCAGCTGGCGAGGCGAGGCAGAAGATGAGCTCAAGCAGGCGTTACACCTCGCGACGCCAGGCCTGGGGCGAGCTTAAGCAGGCATTATGCCTCGCGGGCCAGGTCTGGGCGTGCACATTCAGAGCTTTGAAGACTTATTTCATCTCCTGGTTTGACTAGGACTTGGCCTACATATTTAGGTCTTTTCCTACACATATAAATAACCTAAAAATGCCATTTTGGAGGACTTTTGCAACCGGAGGTAAGGAGAGCTCGTGGAACAACCGTTGGGAGTTAGACTCATCGATTTCTACACCCCTTTATCCTTACTTTGTAATTTAATTATGCAAAATACTTTGGATATTGTGACTATGAGTATGCGTAGCTAAACTCCTAATCTAGGGTTTGATGGAACCTATTGGAGGATGATTTTCCTGTTACATTAATATAGATTTTCCGTAGTATTTCCTCTATTTGTTCAACTATATTATTATTGTTGTTGATTGAAGGGCCCTCAATAGACTGTGCCTATTTAGTATGTATTACTCGGGAGAAAGTGCATATTTAGGTAGTTGTTGAATAACATCACTCCTAACGTATATGAGGGATCAATACAAAGGGTTTAAAGGTGGGATTAGGAATAACGAAATCTTAGTGCGATCCGAGTGAGCCGTACTTAATGCTAGCTGCGTAATTTGGGAGAATATGTCTAGTAAATTATGGTAATTAATTGGGAGAGAGTTATGACAGTCAGAGTGCTCATGATCGATAGAGAAGACTTAGGCGAATTTATAGAAAACATAGCGGAAAAGATTCTGACAATAGGGGAAATCACAACCTTAGACCATTCCAATTCTTGTCTACAAACCGTAGTAGTTAGTTATTAATTGTTGCACTTTCATTACGTAATATTTAGTTAGTAAACATCCAAATTGTTACTTAAATATTTCTGAAGATTGATTGCGTGAGTTCGTGCCAGTCTAGTAGCTGTGTTTGATAGGTTAACTCCCTATGGGATTCGACTACGGACTTATTAGCCGCAATATATTTACAACGACCGCTTAGTCCTTTTTACAAGGCATAGTTGGGCGTGATCATACTACCTGAACAGGGCTTACCCAAGGGCTGTCTGAAATGGGATAAATAATACCTGCCGCCAAAAGCTTTACGATCTCTTTTTTTACTACTTCCTGCATTGCTGGATTCAATCTCTTTTAGGGTTGGACTATTGGCCTGTAGCTATCTTCCATGAGGATTCTATGTGTCACGACCCAAAATTTCGGGTATCGTGATGGCACCTAGTCTTAGGGACTAGGTAAGCCTAACATTTACTGAATAACAACCATAATAAATAACATCTAACAACTTTGAAATGGAATGTTTTATAAAAATTTACAATTCCCAAAACCGGTAGTACAAGTCATAAGCTCTATAGAGTTTACTACAACTTCTAAATACGACTGTTTGGAAATAAGTAAAAACAGTGCGAATACAAAATAGGACGGGGACTCCGAAGCCTGCGAACACAGCAGCAGGTTTACCTTGAGTCTCCACAGCAACAATCCGCACTACTAGCTATTGATCAACTGGCTTTGCAATACCTGGATCTGCACAAAAATGTGCAGAAGTGTAGTATGAGTACACCACAACGGTACCCAACAAGTATCAAGACTAACCTCAGTAGAGTAGTGACGAGGAACAGTCAAGACACCTACTGGACTAAATAACCTGAACAAGTATAAATATAGAAAAAACAGAGTATAATATCTACATAAAGACTACGCGAAGTGGCAATTAATACGGTAATTGCAATAAGGAAGGAAAAT